GGAATAAATAAAACGTCAATCGAAAAAGAATTGTGTGTGCGACGAAGATAAGAAGAGACAGGAAAACAAGTTAAAAACACACAACAATGAGAATTATTCACAGGTATACACATGTATACGAGCCAAACGAATGATCGCACGTATGCGTATGCTGGTTCATCCATGTATGCTGGTATGTAAATATCATACGTAGTCATCGTCTTCGTCGGCATTTGTTGTGTGAAGACCGTTTGCTCTCTCCCTCTTTTTCTTATTTGGCTGATGCACGGCATGGTATTTGTGCAAACGAAACGAACGAAGAAAAAGTAGTAGAAAAGAAAATAATAACGATGCAGACGCTGATGTTGAAATATTTTACAAATCACATTCGAATGAAAGAAGAAATGGCATCATCATCATCATCTTCTTGCCATTCGGGTATACACCATAAATAGAACATATATAGCGTTGATTCCGTCTACCTCTTTGAAGTGTGCTTCTACAACAAACTTAAAAAAATAAAAAAAATCATGCACACTTGTTGCACTTAGAATTTTAATTGAAAATATTGGGGAACATATGAAGCAATACCACCGCATTTTATATTAACACGATGAACTTTTTTTTTCACCACTGAAATACACCCAGACAGTGAGTGGCGCTCATAATTTACAACAAACTTCTGAAAATAGAATTCCAGGTTTTGATAGATTGAACATTTTTACTTACACTGTCGACTCGATTTTGCACTGACACAGAATACATATTTTAGTTAACAAATTCTGCTGGCATACGGTGGCATTGATATGAAGGATTCGATCATTATTTACGCATATGAAATGAAAGAATGCCAAAATTATTAAGATATCGCATTGAATTCAATGAACGCTAATGTGGAAAAAAAAACTCGGATATGTTCCGAATTCGATGCGCATTTTGGAATTATCTTTATGTATAAGACGTTGTCTGACTGGCCGCATATTTTGCAAACAAAAATAAACCAGCAGATTTTGTCTATTGAACACAATCTAGTCTCGATTGTGGTGTGTTCTTTTATTTTAACTTGCACCATTTTGCACTTATGATGGTTTTATTTACCATTTTGGTTTTTATGTACATTGGGAAATATTTGATGTATTGCTATTGGCGATAAATATTTGACTCAATACTTTTTAATGCGGTAAAGAAAAAAATTGGATAAAGATAAAAACTGCATTAAAATTACCAATGAATTTGGTTTGATTTGATCAACCATTTTTAAGTTGTTTAACAAAATCAATGAAAAGGCATTGGTTGATGTATTTGAACGAAGAAGCCGGTAACATAGAACAAAAAAGAAAAATTTGCCAAACTCAATGATAAACTCAATGTTTTACGACAACTACAAGATTTCATTATAATCACTCAATCTCAAAGAATGATTTCAATCTCAACAAAATGTGTAAATGGGACCACTATGTGAATTAGAGCATTTGGAATTCTAGTCCACCTATGCGTAAATAGTCTTTTTTTAAATTAAAATCGGCCACAAACGAGAAAAAAAAATAGAAAAAAGTTGTCAGTCGTCACATACATACAATACATTAATCATTATCATCGATAAGTGAGGTTGTTTTTTGTTGTTGTTGCAGTTCCGATGTGACTTTTTGCATGAGAGACACTAACATTTGTTATTGTCATTTCGGATGTTGACGATCATGATTCAATTGCACATTGCGCCACTTTCGCACATCACTCACTCAGTCAATTGAATCATAAATTGAATCCTCTAGAATAAATACAGCGTATGATACGGTCGCACACCAAAGGTTGTTTTTACATACATTTTTTGCTGTATTTTGTATGACGGTGTTTCGCTTTGAAATGCAACCTTTTCATACGCTGTTTTTATTCTATAGCAATCAATTGTACTGGCCATATTTTAATATTTACCTATTCTTTGAATTCGAACGATAAATTTTGACCGAATCAGAAATTACTTTTTACTGGCAATTCAATTTGCCAATTTTTTCGATATTTTTTCATGTCTTTATCATATTCAAGTTTGGATCATATTAAGATCACATTTAAAGAAAATCATTTACTCTTCAAGTGGGTAAATAATTTTCAAGTAAATCTGGTATGTTTATACTGTTGATATTACAAAAAGTCTACATTTTAAAGAATTAAAAGAAAGACTTATTATTTAGAGAAATTTAATTTCACAATAAACATAGAACAATGACATCTGTATATCAAAAGAAGTGCATAAGAAAATAAAGTGAATATTTTTGTTCTCTTTCACTCAAGCGATGCCAACAATCTTGTCTTCATAAACGAAAAGAACGAATGAATGTTAACATTCTTACCATCGTATCACAATGTTAAGAATGCACTTTCAACAGGGCACGATTTAATCTTTATGATTGCAATTGCATTGTCTGCAAATAAATTTTGTTGTATTCATCTTTTGGTACAGTTGATTGGATCAGTTAAAATGTGTGTTATATGTGTATAGCTGCATTCGAAATGCAAACATAACCCAATTAAACACCACATTGAATACGGTTTTCGGTTTGTAAAATTGCATCGATCTGCGAATGCAATCAATGAGAGGGTTAAAAATTGATGAAATAAGTAATGATCAGTTGCCGTACCCTTGGAATGCAAACAAATATCTATTTCTATGAGTAGTTCTTTTTACGTTCTCCTTCTCCATCTTTGAAGTATTCTGTTGTTGTTGTTTTTTTTTCTTATATGTTCATCTTTTGTTATACCTAAATGCCCTTATGCAATAGCTCAATAACTGTTAGCATGTTGTATGTAACAACATCAACAAAAAAATTCCATTGTTAGTAATAACACAAATTATGAATCAAGCCAATAGCACGAAAGAATCAAATTTATTTTTCGGAATAGAAAAGTACGGCCGATATAGCCGATTAAAATGTACGGGCAGATGATGTTGATGATGTTTGGTCATTTGCCTCTTCGCTTCTTCAGCTTTTTCTTTTCTGGTCAGAGAAACCGTGCTTCACCTTAACAATATTTTTATATAGTTTTCCATTTGATATGTTCACTCAAATGGTTGCATCCAATGACTCGTCCACTTTAACCATAGAATGAATAATCATTTCTCTGCTCTCCGCATTCATCTTTCCAAAAATGAGAATTTAAAGGGATTATCACAATCAAATAACAATCGAACAACGACAAGAATTTGATTCTTTCTATCTCTTCTTCATTGGTTTGACTTTTATTTAGAAAAGAATCTAAAAACAGATTTGAATGTTATACACCGAATAGTTGATTTTCTTGTCGTAAAAAACAAGTTATAACACGATCTTTTAAAAGGTTTATTGATTGCACAAATAAAATATAATTCGAATCGTATCGCAAGAGCTCATATAATCTATGCGATTTTGATTAAATATCAAACCAAGTCGCAATAGGAATCAAATGACAATGGGAGAAATCAATATCTCAGACCAAAGTATTTTTTTTTTGGCTGCACACCTAGACATACTGCTCGAAAAGTAGCTATACTTGGGCGAATTCTTTTTATTATTCTTGCGTTGGCTTTTGTGGTCACATATGTAAAGAACATTAAGCATATATGGTCGGGAAAAAAAGAGTGGTAAACAGACGGCGGCTCGAAATCTATTCTCATAAAATGAACTAATTTTGCAATTAGTTTTGATTCAATCAGATCAATATAGAGCAAATGTAAAATTACATGGTGAATGGGGGCACAATAAAAACGTATTTGACGATTGTTTTTTTTTTATTGTGTCAATATCAAAACACAACAGAGCACTGTGTCAATGGTGATTACAATCTGCATTCATACACATGCGATGCGTCTGCATATAAATAAAATTGCCCATGGTCGAAACGAATGAAATATTTCATACGTTTGAAATAAAATGGCTTTTGATTTGAATGCATATGGTAGTGATGTAATTAATTATGTTGTTACGATTCTTTTGTATGCCGGTTTGCATTGTGGTAGTCGCTACTTGATCCCAAGTTGGAATTTTCTTTGCAGTTGACACACAACTCAGTCAGTTTTATCGGTTATTAGAATATCAGGTCAAGTTTATTGTGCAAAATAAAAAAACACAAATCCACAACAATCGACGACCAAAGCGATAAAAAAATGTCTGCTTTTACCATAGAATTGAATAGTAAACGTGTTATCGGTTGATTTGCGAGTTGCTGTTTAACTAGTTTTCCTCTGGTTTATTTTCTACATTCTGTATGAAAAACAAGATAAAAACAACAACAGCACACATTTGAAATAGCACCTGGCGCAATACTTGAAACGAAACAAATATAAAAGGTTTCAATTTTCGGCACACTTTTAAATTATGACTAGAAGTGTTGATTATTCAATATTTCTATAAATTAATCGACAATTATGATCCTCTTCCAATATGTCCAATTGTCTGGAAACACACAATTCCACACATCTGTTCATGAATCGGAATTTAATCCATGTCGATTGCAGTTTGATCATTACATTTAAAATGTCTGGTGTTTAAACCATAATTTGAATGTCTTTTGTCATTTTAATCAATATATCTTGGGGCCTTAAAAGGTACGTTTTTTTAAAATGTAAATTCGATATTTAATATTGAAAAGAATTTCAAATTACTTAATAAACTTAAACCAGTAATTGTCGGAAAACCGTCTGTTATACTTTATTCGTGTCTGTATGACGTTTTGGTCTTTTCGGAATTGAAAGTGTCTACCAAAAGTCGAACAAATATTGTGCAGAATAATTTCAATATATTGAAGTTTTTTTGAGTTGAAAACACAAGCTTTACAAAGTTGAAATGGAGACGGTAAACACAAATTCTACTCAATAAAATATGCGAACCGCTTGCGAGTAAATAAATGAGCTACTTTGAGTTTCGTAAAAATTGCTTGCTAAACCAGGAGATATTAGATACAAACAGGAGAAAGTAAACATTGAAGAGATCAGTAATGTATTTTAAATAAACATATTGTGAAGAAAATCAGCAATTTATTTTGTCCAATTTTATGAAAAGTTTATTAACATTCGTTAAATTCATCGATTTCATTACTAATAAATAATTGTTCATTTATTATGCATTCAAGTATTTTACAAATAAATATGGCTACGGTATTTCTGTTTCTGGCGGCTTTTCACTCGTTGCTTCATACAGCGGAATTGAATTCATAAGACCTCTTCCTTGTACAGCATGTTGCCGAACTAATCGCGGTTTTGAATTGCAAGCCGATTGTTTGCCTATTAATTGACAATAGAATAAAATAGTTAGATCTGTTCATTAAACTAAAAAGAATGTGTTTTTGTTGTGATAAACGAAATACCTGACAATGAAGGTACTGGTGTTGTACTCGTCGCACTAGATCGTGATAAACGGAATGTCGATGTGCTGGCAGTTGTTGCAGATGAAGATGAATCATTTCTTGAGCTCGATAAATTTGAATCTTGTGACGTTTTACGGATTAACCATGAGGAATGTCGACGTCGAGTCTCTAAGATGCGTAATGGAATTGAGCAATGATGAGGTGGACCGTGACGCCATGAGTCTGAACGCGATGAGCTAAAATTATCGCTATTTGAAAGGGAGTTGTCTCTCTTGTATGGTTTTTGTTGAATTTCTGCAATTTTATAGGCATATTGATCGCATCGAACGTCACGTCGATTGTCCGAACGTTTTTTCGGTTTATTGCATGTGATACGATACCAAATTCTCATCCAAAATGATGGCGGTAGCTCGACTAGAGTTACAGTTTGTTCCAATAATTTAGCGCATGCACACGTTTGTGCGCCCATCAACGGTGGCAACTCCTTTGATGACCGTTCACCAAGTGAATTTGTATTGGCTGGTGTTTGTCGATTGCTAAAATTCGAACTGTGTCGACAACGTCCAATACCACGTGTTACACGCGATTCTTCAATCGCTTTGCAAATCATAACACAATCCTTTTTAAATTGTTTTGTCATAATTGCATAAAGAAATGGATTACAACAAGAGTTCAATGGTAGCACGAAAACGGTAAAAACTTTTGCCTGATTGAGATTGATTAAATGAATGCCAAACACTGCGGTCAATGATAGAAATGCAATTGGTGACCAGCACAAGAAATCGGTAAATACCAGCAATGCCATACGTTTTGCGATACGTGAATCGTTTGAATTCCATGCTTGACTGCCACGAATGGCACAGTACATTTTCAAATAGCAACCCATTAAAATTAAGAATGCAACACCATTTATAAACATCAAAAATACGACATAGGCAAGACTTGCCGGTCCGGTTGTCGTTTCAAATGGCAAACAAACGGCAAATTTTCGATAATCGGACACACCAAACAACGGTAAAACGGCCATTGTTATCGAAAATAACCACCCGAATATCATAATATAGCCAGCATGCCGTAATGATAGCCGTTTGTTCAAGTGCATTGCATGCGTTATCGCATAATTTCGCTCCAATGTTATCACAGCCAATGTATAAACGGATAGCTCAGATGATAAAACGGCCAAAAAACCGGCTATTTGACATCCAATACTCATCTGCCATGGTATTGCGTACATACGAAATTCACCCAATGTTGATGCATCCACAACGGCAAGTATGCCCAAATAAATGCCCATGAAAAAATCAGCTGCCGCTAAATTGCACACCAAAAATCTTGGTACATCCATTTTTGAACGCGAAAAAATTAACACAAATACAACGGTGCCATTGCCAAGCATCGCTAATAGGAATACGACCCATACACCGCACCGCAGTGTCCACCAATCGAATAAGTCGGCACATGGCAAAAAAGGACCTAGTTGCAAAAGAAAAGTAAAAACACAAAGAAGTCGATTTAAATGTGTCTGGTATATTCACTATATATTCACCTGGTAATGGTAAACATTGAACGGAGCCTGGCTTGAAATCGCCATTGAATGCTTTTGTTGGCGAGGTTTCCTCTTCGAAATATTCTTCAACATAAGCTGGCAAATTTCCAGGGTACGTAAAGTCTTGCCCAAACGAATCCCACAGTTCATTAATCTGGTTACCAAACTTTTTGCTCAAGTTATCTGCAAAAGTTTTTAATGACAAAATGAATAAAATATCTCAATCTTTTTTCCATCCATGTTTTTAAGATTTAAGCTGCTAAAATAAAAACAAAAATTTAGTCACTCAATTATTCCGAACCGGAACTACGCTATTAATTATGAAACTAAATCAATTAACGAATATGAAAAGTTATTTTTAATCAATATTTTTTTCAGTAAATACAAATAACTATTTTAAGCGAACCGTTTCACTGCAGCCAATAATAAGTAAATCCAAAACTCTACATTTGTTTGCCATTTTGTTGAAATTAAGTGATTTCATTTTTTTCATATGTAGAAAAATCGTCGGAAGTGAGTTTGTTTTGCTAGGAATGGACTTTAACATAATAAAAATATTTTCTTTAAAAAAATTCAAACTTACGCAATTGAGGCCAAATATCGGTTTGACTGCTATTCCACAGAGACATATCAAATTCATTATCGGTTGGAAATAAAACGGCTTCTTGTAGTGGTGGCGTTTTTGGCGTGCTTGCCATCATAACAAGCGGCAGAAAAGCACAGCAATGATACGCATATGACAAGACCAACGTCTGTTTAGATATAAATATGAATACCAAAGTTTAAAATTCACGAGTTCTCTATATATTCTATACAACATACTCTTCTATCAATATTTAATCTATCAGAAGGGCAATCACTACAGAATCATTGAAAATGATTGAATGCTTCAACAATAAAAAATACAAGTGCAAAAAACCAACCTGAATGCGAGGAAATGTATCGGGTGGTGGAAATTCCCGTAGATTTGGGTTATTGAAGCATTTTAAATGCTCTACATTTTTCATCCCATTCTTTGGCAATCTTGGAAATATGTTATTACCTAAATTCCTTTAAATACCAAAAACGATGACATGTTACAAATGTGCAGTGCGTTTAGAAATGGAAGAGAACGAGAAAAAAATGCGCTCATTCGACATCATTAAAAGTAATGCAAAGAGCATAATATTTACAAATCTTCGAGTTGTAGAAATCCAGCGAACGAATCTTCATGAATAAAAGAAATTTTGTTTCCTTCTAAATCTCTGCAATAATAGTATGAAAACGGGTTCAAGGAAAACAATCGATTTATATTATTATTATTTTTTTTTGTGTACAAATTGAGAGGAAATCAGCGCGCTCATGCTCGCTATAAAGAGCGAACGAGCATGAGCTACTGAATAAATACAAACTTACAGTAATTGCAGTCTTGGCGCACCCAAAAATGCATCTCTTGGAATTGTTGTGATTTCATTGTACGACAACAGCAGATCATGCAGTTGACCTAAGCCTTTGAATGGTGTTTCGTGTACCGAACTGATTCGATTATCGGATAAATCTCTATAAAAAAAAACATAACAAAATATACACATGCACAGAACCATTCAATTCCGTTGCAGTTCGGTGTGTGTGTGTATTTTTTTGTGTCGAATAACACAAACCAATTGCCCCCGTATTCGACAAGAAGATATGTTCGAATTAAAGAGGAAAATACAACCAAAGAATTACTTACAAAATTCTCAAATCCTTGCATTGTGACAGATCTGGAATACTTCTCAGCTTATTCGATTTCAATTCTCTACCAAAGATACGAAAAATCGAAAAATAAAACATTCGAAAAAACAATTGTAAATCATTTCTCTTGAAATGGAGAAGATGAAAAAAAGGCGACAGACTGAAACAATACGATTTTCCAACTTACAAGCTTTTCAAGTGTGATGAATTCAAACATAGTGTGTTTGGTATCACGGAAACATTGGCTCGATCCATTCGAAGAATTTCCAATACAGAACAGCCCTCAAGTGACGGCAACTCACTTAAACTCTTGGCATCCGATAAAACTCTTCGAAATAAATGATATAACAAAATCCACATTCAATCGTTTCTTACGTGCATCGAAGCAAAATATTCACTTTTCACAAACGATGAAAATGTCGTTTACAATTGTCAAACAACTTTAATTGGACATTATTTTAAAATGAATTTACTTACAATTTTCGCAATTTTGGCATGCTTTGAAAAGCATCAAACTTTATATCACCCAATGGATTGCCACGCAATTCCAATGTAATTAGATTTTTTGGAAGGTCATCTTTTTGAATGGTATTTATTCGATTTCCCGATAAAAACCTACTCGCACAAAAAAAGAGAAAACAAATCCTTTAAATGAATGCATTTGACAAGTGTGAAATGCAGTTAGTTGCTTACAATTCCTGTAGATTTGATAATTTTGCCAATTTGTTCGGTATCGCTGTAAGCAAATTATCATCCAGGTCGCTGCATTGAGAAGATGAAGAAAACATAAATGGAAACCATCAAATCGGTGTATTTACATACAGCAAAAGTGGCGGAAAACAAAGAGACGAAATACACAGAAAAGAAAATGAGAATAAAATAAAATTGGCAATATATTTTGAATATGATTTGAATTGAGACTATTTTACAAGCAGAAAAAACACGAAATACTCACAGAATTTTTAAGTTGATTAAATTGCTTATCGCATCGGCTGTTATATTTGTCAGACGATTTCTTTTCAGAGTGCTTTGAATTTGCGAAATAAGTTGCAGTGGTTTGTGGTTGATATAAATTTTTTTATTGTTTGCAGTTTGCGTCAAAATAAAAAGAAATGAAAGATATTTTTTTAATATGTTTATGTATTCAGAGCGTTTTTATGTCAATGTGCAATGCAATCGTACTCATCATTTCATACAATTGCAGATATTCCCATTGAAATGAGTTGAACGACTGCATTTGATAAACAAAAACTAGTTCCAGCAGGTTTTTTTTCTACGAAAGAACTGATTCCAATAACAAAAACATGTTTTGTTCCGTTTTTTTCTATACTTTCCCATTCAAACGCAAAACACAAAGAAAGACTAACAATTTTTCCAATTTATACTCACAGATATCGCAAGTTATCCAATTTTGGAAAATCTCCAGCATTTATATTAAGTAGGTGATTGCCTCCTAAATTTCTATGGATGGGTAATTTTTTAAGAGGAAAAAAGTATTTGAGAAATGACACAAAAAGAAAGAAAATGGAATAAAAAGCGAGAGATAGTGAGAGAGAATGAAGGAAAGTGTCAGTTAGAAAGAAATCGGATTAAATAATTTTGCATTTTATTCGCCAGAAATTCGTGCATATGGTTTAAATAGTTTTTTCATGAAATTTTGAATTGAATTGAAAGTTGAAGATACTCGTATATCGAAGATTATTTACTCATCCCTCAAAAAACGAAACCATAATCGTTTTTACATCGATACAAATTTTGACTATCCAATACCAGTGATGTTAGTGAACTCAAATAGAGTTAATTATAATCTTTTATTACAGTTACTTAATATTGTTTGCTCCAAATAGTTAAAATAGTTGTTTGTCTATTATGAAAATACACATTAAAAGCGATAGTTTCAAATTTTAATTGGAAACACTGCACAGTGAAAAGAAAAGAAACAATGTTTTCAAAACAAACAGAGCCCATAATACAGGAGGAGGAAAAATTTTTAAGCCTAGAATATAAAGAGAAGTGTTTTCAAATCATTCTTGTACTATAATTGAAGTATGAACTATCAACAGTATTCCCACAAAAAATTTGGTTGATATCTCTTATAGAGAGTTTTCTACGTTAGTCAATTGGTCATCACCTCGGAATCCTTGGAAATTTTTATAAAATCGAGCACCGCATTTTTCTATTGAGACATTTTTCATATTTGAAAAGTGGAAATACTAGCTAGAGGCCGGCCCCAATAAATGCAATAGATGGTGAATTTGAATCAAGATTCAGGTGGTGACAATGTGTCTCCAAATATTCACTTGCGAGCTGTCATGCGAAGACAAATTTCCTCGACAGAAGAAAACAATATTTTACTTCTACTACATAACGCAATCCATACATCTATTGAGCGTGGTACAGACCCAAGACCATGTTATTTTTTGGTGACAAGCCAATCATTAATATACCATTTGTATCCCAGAAATGGTAGTCATATGTTGGAAATCATCTGTTTCGAGGCGACTTTCTACTGATGCCTTGCAACCACTGTATAATAATACATTCTCTTCGCTTTGGTCTTTGATTTGTAGTAGTAGAACCAGGCTTCATTACCAACTACTATTGATTTATTCGCTACATTCCAGAAGCTTGAGTAATCAATCACAAAGAGAAATGTGATCATCTGTCAAAAAAATATCAAAGGCTTTTCGAATGATCGCAAACAAACGTTCTCCAAGTAACTTTTTTCGTGTGATATATTGAAGACACTATCTGCTGTGATGCTGAGGGTCGCAGCTAACGTACTGTTGGACATTTGGAATATTTCATGAACTACACTTGGATTTTGGCTATCACATCTTGAACTGTTTTCACTAATGTCACAAAAGTGTGAGAGTCATCTTCCAATAAGTCTCTGCACAAATATGAAGGGGTATCTTATTGTTTGACTATGGTATACGATGGAGGAGGGTGACCATAAATTACACGCAAGAAGTGATTGAAATCGTTTGATGCTATACCATCTTTTGTGAGATACCTAATCTCAACATGATTTTGGAATTTTTCAGTTTTTCAAAAAATATCAAAATGACTAAATGCCTAATGCCGAAGTAAACATATGAAGAGAGATATGAACTCAATTTTTTGTGGGAATACTGTTGACAGTCCATACTTCAATTACAGCACAAGAATGATTTGAAAACACTTATCTTTATATGCTAGGCTTAAAAATTTTTCCTCCCCCTGTAATGATACCACACATAAAAGGTTATATGTTTGTGTTATGGAGCGGAATGACGTTGTTGCATCGCTGGTGGTTAATTAGGTCGATTTAAAAAACCCAAAGATTAATAACCACTGAAAGTGATAAGGAGCAAATGAAACTCACAATATTTCTAGAGTTGTTAAGCCAGTCAATGCTTCAGTTGGCACCCGTTGTAGCATATTTCCTTCAAGTCGAAGTGCCCGTAGACTCTTCAGTTGAGTGAAGGAAATATCATCTAAATGCATAAGTGCATTATCATCTAGTTGTCTAAAGAAAGTATGATTTGAAATCGAGAAGAAGCAATTTAATTAAAACGTCAAATTTAAATCAATTTTTTGTCAGTATGGAAATTTTATTTTTCGGAAAAACTGCTCTCAAAGTACTTTCATAGCAGGTGAATCACACATTTTTAACATAGTTAAGCTTTAGGTAATTTTCTAATAAAGATTTGTTTTTCGCTGTCTTTAGCCGTTCAGCTTGTATTTCAACGATTCGAAAAACACGTTTTTAACTAAACTGCGTGAAGTGTGATTTGTGATCGAGAACATTTGAATTACATATGGTCCATTTTATTAACGAATGGTCTTCATTTAGCCGATGAGCGATGTCTGCTTTTTAAAAGAATCAATGCTTTATCTCGAGAGACTTCAAGCTTGCGAGATAAACTTAATACAACATTTATCTTAAAGCAAACATAACAGATAAAATGTAAACATAATCCAAAGTTATTCAGTTTGGCATTTTGATTTGTGATATGAAAATTCGATGACTCAATTTTATTATTCGGCATCGGAAATGGATACAAATACTGTTCACACACACACTCTCGATTTAATTTTTGGATGTGTTATTAAATTGATTTGCTGAATATGTTGTTTATAGCTTTTTTGGTGCTTGGTTCTTTTCATGTGTTCTTTTTTTTCTTCTTCTCCGTTTTCATTATTCGTTTCTCACAGCGAACAAACAATTTATCATCAAATGTGAACGGACTTCAGCGTTAAAAATGCCCGAATTTTCCACATTTCATTGCAATACACGCACAGGATACTGTTGTCAACGAAAGAGGAAATCTTTCATCTTTCTTTTTCTTTGAAAAAAGAGAAATTAATTCAGCTGAAGAAAACTTTTTATCGGTAGACTGAATGAGTGGAATGGTCGAATAAAAGAACAAAAACATAATAATGATGACGTTGCTGCAATCTATTTATCGAGCGTACAATTCGAATATGCGGAACGTATCCGGTTGAATTGGCTTCGAAAAACGAAGCTGTCAAAAATCATTGAACAATTTTTTATTTATATCGGTACGGGTCACAATTCAGTGTCATCATTTGTTTTAGTATTATTCCTTGGGTGAAGAAAAGTGAAATCGGCGATAGAAGACACCAAGTAGGGTAACTAATTCTATCGTCGCCATAATTTGACATTTTTACTTTCCAGAAAATGTGAAGCGTTATCGCTCACCAACTTCAAAACGAATCAATTCGAATTTGGATTTTTTAATAGAATTTAATGAATATATTCTAAAAGCATTTTCATTTTATTTGTTTTTGGTAACATTTGAAGCTATTTCGAAAAACTTGGAAAACTTCTACAGCAGAATACACATGACTTTCGGTTTTTTACTAGACATGGTGGTACAAATGAATGCAAATAAATGTGCTAAAATGTTGGACAGAAATCAGTAAAATACAAAATACTTACAATGCATTCAAACTTTTGAGATAGCTCAAAGCTTTTCCGGAAACTACAGAAAGGCCACAATTATGTAATGATAACCGTTTTAGATTTTTTAATCCTATAAATGCATCTGAATCAATTTGTAATAAACTATTGTCTGAGAGTATGCTGTGGAGCAAAAAAATGAAAACGAACAATTAATATTTGATTAGTTCCTGGTTCTTCCAATTTATTAAAACTTGAAGAAAAATTTAATTGAAATCTTTCGTTTTAAATTAAGTTCACGTTTTTTTTTTTTGTCACATGCACTTTGTTACTTCCACTCCGGGATTTTTTTTAAATGTCATTGGCAATATATTTTTATTATAAATGAGTGTATTGAGCACAGTTTTCATAAAAATCAGTGTAAAATATAAAGTTCACCTCAATTCATATATAAAATATTGCCATTGATATTTTCATGATAATGCCAAAGTTTGTATTCGGTTAATGTTTGCATTCAGTTAGAATAGTTTAACTTATAATTTCAAACAAACAATCATGGCGCCATATTTTGCAATATGGATGTGATACTATTATTGTTGTGAAGCGCGTTTGGTGCTTTTTGCGAAGAACAATGTAAATCTTGCGATAAGAAAAATGTCTGAGAGTATACTTACAGTTCTTCTAAATGAGGTACAGATTCAAAAGAATTATTTGGCAATGTTGTTATATTATTGTTACCAAGATCTCTGATCAATCACAAATGAAAATACAATCACATAAAAAATCATTAAAAAAGAAGAATCGATAAAACGATAGCCGATGATAAAACTTACAATTTGATTAAACTCTTTGGTAGATTGGTCGGTGTTTCAGTAAGGCCAATTGAACGGCACGATAAGGTCAATTCTTCAACAGTGCCGGAACATTGACAGCCTTCTTTTTCCCAAATGGTGCACATTTGCCGCGTCGAAACACCATACGAATCGAATTGTTTTAATGCCTTATCATAGATTTCTTGAGCTTCACGTTCAGAATTTGGTGATAGAATCACAACAGATTCGCTCATTGAATGTTTGGTTTTTGCACTAGAATATTTTTGTGTCGGCTTTTGGGTCGTCATTTGTGTTGCCGATGATGTTGTAACAACAATAGTCGGTGACGTTGGTTTTACAATTGATTGAAATGGCTGACTTAATGACTTTTTGCCCATACCGTATGGAATTGTTGATTTCGATGAAGACACGAATGACGGTATTGATGTTGTTGTTGTTGTTGCTGTTGCTGTTGCTGTTTTCATTGACTCTTCGATAGCCATTCGAAGGCCAATATTGACGCTTATGGTTAGTAGGATAAACAATCCCACTATCCATGCCATGCCAACTTGTGTAAATTTTTATATGTGCCAATGATTTTTACACCTTATCACCACCAACAATATCATATTCATTTTATGATAATGTTGAGTGCACCAACGTAAATCATTCGAATGAAATGTCGCCCGAAACTGCCGCTGCGGAACGAAACATTTATATTCGTATCAACAACCATTGGTGGTGATGCCGCAACTTTTAATTTTTTTTTCTCTCTCTCTCTCTCTCTCTCACACTCTCTCTTTCGAATTGAACAAATGGTTTTGCTTCTATTTTTAGTTACGACCACGTAATTATTTCTTGACTCTCTTTTTATTAATGTTCTAGATACAAGAAAAAAAGATTAATGAGAAATTCAAACAAACAGTTCAAGGACTTTTTGGTGTTTTCCATTGAATTGGATGCATTAATTGAACCGCTTAAAATAAAACTTGTCGAGGAACTATGTACAACTTGTTCTTGTTTTTTTGTGAAATGTGAAATTTTTTGGTTTTATCTTACATATTATTTAGAATAAAAAAAAATGTTATATCAAATTGTATCAAATAGTTGCATAATGATAAAGCAATCGAATGGTCTGCTTTATATTTTTCATTTCACACAACAAGAATCCAGGCCCAAAATGTTTCAACTGAACTTCATATAAATATCAGCAAAAGCCATCATACGCAAAGCACGTACAGCATTCTTTATTGTTTTTATAATCACGTTCAAAAAATTATGACGCGAAGAAACAAAATATTGCTTGATGTATAATCAAGCTGTAGAATCGTTTTCGGTTTGTTTGTACCACGCATAACTCAAGTAAGGTATCAGCTATCAACTTGAAACCTATTTTTTCAGATTCCTGAGCCCAATCCACGAAAACTATATTTTTCTTTTTGGAAAATTCGTCCAAGAAGAATTATTTTTCTTGTAAATGAGGTTTTTCCTAAGAATTTGTATGGGAACTTCAAGACAACTTGATTTGTACGTTGTAACTCGAGTTCAAATTCTACGATTTTGATTAAAATCGCTCAGTTTGTAGGTCTTCAGATGCCCTTTCGAAAAAACACAGAAAGAATACTTGATCGACCTTGTGAATAGTAGCTCTAGTACAGCGAACTATCACATTTCTGTGTATTCGAAAATTAAACTCATTTATACATCGATACATCAAAGCATGACGATAAGGCAAAATTGCTTGCCAGCGCCACCAAATGACTCCATATGATTCTATATAGTTCTGCGGTTGCCAGCGGTACTAATCTCTAATAGAGAGTTGCCGAGCTGTCATTATCGTCGTGCTTTGCGATACATCAAGCATTACTACCAATAGATTTGACAGTGTATTTATCTATGTTTGATTCTTTGTGCTGGCGATTTTTAGCCGGCTTTTACTAACCATAAGCATTTTTCTATAAAGTTGTATTTTAGCCGGTTCAATTATTCATCATTCGATTAGGCTTACTCTACGACTGATCCGAAGATATTCTCATTTTTTTTTATCTCGTTTTCAATTTCGAATAACTTATAAGTTGAAATTTTGTTGCCAAAATGTGTTCTATGTTTTTTATGTACACGATTTTCGATGGCCTCTTTATGTCTCACTTTATCTAAAATTGTGTATTTTATTTTTTATCTGTTTGCACTCCGTCTCTTGTAATCAGTGCTGAATGTATAAATGTTGATATATATTTTTGTGTTGCGATTGGTATTTTTGTTGAGTTTTTGGGTCTCTCACATCATTAAGTTATGTTGTTAGTATTTCTTTTTCATTTCTATTTAAAATTTGAAACTGTAATAAATAATGGTACATTGGATGGCAGAACACAAGTAGTCAGGAATAAGAATGGTGAATCTGTGGACGGAAAAAAATGGAAAAATAACAAAATTCTGTTATTCGAATTGTGAAAAACGAATAAAATAGCGGAAAAATAGATAGTAAAATACACATTGCAAAATTTTATATTATGAACAAACATGTATTACGATGTGATTAAAATTAACGAGACTGCAATAAATTTAAGTATATAATTGAAGAGGATGGAAACATGCAACAACAAATGGAGCTTTATGTGCGTTGACTCTTGAAATTCCGAACAAACTCATACTGTACACACTTAAGTTTGGAGAGTAAAATCCAAGCATGCAGAGCTTCGGAAAAGTTACACGCATCACATGCATCTGGGATTGAATGAAATGAAGAGATATAGCGAGTCAACGGCTATCGGAAGAAAGTGAAAACGTTTTGGATTTTATCGATTTTCGTATTTTCGGCTTACTAACTTGAGATATATTGGGATTTAAATGAAAAATCCCATGTTTTTGGCCATTAATTGAAGTTATCACATTTTAATAGGTTTAAATGAGATGTGATGTGTTAGGGAACAATTTTTCAAGGGGTTTCATTCATTTAAATGACAAAGATCATTCACTTTTTTTCATCCCAATACTTATACGTTTATTAAATATCCACGCATATTAAATCATAGTCACGAGAAATCGAACCAATCTACGCATATAAACTAAATATAGACCTTTTTTTGAAATATTGAAGGCAACTGAAACCCCTTGCAATTTTTGCAATCCGTTGATTGGTTGGCCTCCTTACTTTTAATTATTCATTATCACTGTTTACGTTCGTTCAATTTAATTGGATTTACAGCACCCGAGAGCGTTATAATAATGATGACAGTCATTTTCAATAGACAAGACTTTTATAGGATTTTCAGTTATACGCCAATCATATTGATGCGCAACGCACGCTTACTGGTTGGGCTATTTTATTCATTTAACTTCACCAATAAACCATAAACCATGTGAACAATACGAGAAAGAAAAGGATCGATTTAAAGAAACTAATAATTGCCTTCAGATTACATATTTTATTCTTTTTTACAGTGAATGAGAGACAGATACGCTCAACATTAAAAACACTGGTTAACATAATGCCAATTGCTACAGCATTTGAGTATGTAATTTAGACTTGTAGATTCGTGATATCATTTTGTAAAATCTCATCACGTTTGTAATGGCAATGAACATT